TTCTTATAGATAGAGTATCATTAAAGGTAGGTTGGTGTTGAATTTAGCAAGGATCGGTGAAGGGACCGATTACCGATTTCTGGCTATTTTTATAAATGTCCGTGGTTGCTCTAATTTCCGTAAATTTTGAGATATCGAGCTTAATTTTTTTTTGTGGATAGAGTATCATTAAAGGTAGGTTGGTGCGGAATTTGGCAATGATCGGTGAAGAGGTTACCAATTTTTGCCTAAAAAGTGTATAAGTTATACATGTAATCTTATATATAAGGTATCATTAAAGGAAGGTTGTTTTGAATTTGACGAAGATTGGTGAAAGGGTTACTGCTTTCTGCTTAAAAAATGTATAGGGTAGACCGAGGTGAATCGGATTACTAATTAGCACGATAAAATAGCTTGTTTGAAATAAAACATTAATAAAAACTGTCTTGAAACTTATATTGATCTAATTCGCCTCGATCTACCCTAAGTTATTTGATGGATAGAGTATCATTAAAGGAAGATTGTTATTTAATTTGGCGAGGATTGGTGAAGAAATTATCGATTTCTGCTTAAAAAATGTATAAGATGTACATGTAATTTTATATAGAGTATTATTAAAGAAAGGTTGTTTTGAATTTTGCGAGGATCGGTGAAGGAGATACCAATTTCTGTAGAAACTTGCACATTGCTTCCTCATAGTTTTTATGTGTGCAAGTAGAAACTTGTATATTGCTTCCTCATAGTTTTTAAGTGTGCAAGTAGCAAAACCTGCACATTGCTTCCTTATTGCTTCCTCATAGAGGAAGCTTTGTGATGGTGAAAAAAAAAATGTTTGAGATTTTGATGGAAATAGGTTTAGAATGTTCCAAAATGTCGAGAAATCATATTAGTAGAAAATGTCCGGAAGTATGTATGTATGTGTGTGTGTGTGTGTGTGTGAAGAAATTTGCATACTTGAAAATGTGAGTCGAAACTTGCACATTACTTCCTTACAATTTTTAAGTATGCAAATTATAAATTTGCACATTGTTTCATAGTTTTTAAGTGTGCAAGTAGAAACTTGTACATTGCTTTCTCATAGTTTTTAAGTGTGCAAGTAGAAACTTGCACATTGCTTTCTTACAATTTTTAAGTGTGCAAGTAGATACATGCACATTGCTTCCTCATAGTTTTTAAGTGTGCAAGTAGAAACCCGCACATTGCTTTAGTTTTTAATGTGCAAGTTTCTACTTGCACACTTAAAAACTATGAAACAATGTGCAAATTTGTTAAGATAGTTTAAATTCGGCGCGCTTTATGTCTTACTATTATTAACGTTGTGCATATTAGTTTATCTACGCGACACTAGGAGACACTATTGTACTTTTATTTTAAGTTGGCTATACTGGTCTTGTCGTTGCTACCGTTCCGTTGTGTCTCGTTTATTGTAACGTACATTTTTTGCTCCGTATATCTATTACGTTCTTTCATTTTCTGTTAAAGAGATATTCCAGAGTGTACCAATAAACTACTGGTATTATACGTATAGTCGATTACGTTATTGTTATCACCTCCACTGGTCAGACACAAATAATAACTCAACAAAATTTATAATTTGCATACTTAAAAATTGTAAGGAAGTAATGGGCAAGTAGAAACTTGCACATTGCTTCCTTATAATTTTTAAGTGTACAAATTATTTTGAAAATTATTTTTTTACAATTTTTAAGTATACAAATTATAAATTTGCATGTTGCTTAATCAACATTTTATTTCGTTTATAAAGTTTTCTCTATGAGGAAGTCAAATTAATAAATATCTACTAATAATTATACATAAAAAAAGGCTTCCTCATAAGAGGAAGCTTTATAAGCAAAATAAAATGTTGATTAAGCAATGTGCAAATTTATAATTTGCATACTTGAAAATTGTGAGAAAATAATGTTCAAATTTATAATTTGTACACTTAAAAACTATGAGAAAGCAATGTGCAAGTTTCTACTTGTAGTTTTTTAGTGTGCAAGTAGAAACCTTCGCTCACAAAGCTTCCTCTATGAGGAAGCTAAAACAAATAAATACTAATAATTATACATCGAATAAAATAAAAGCTTCCTCATAAAGGAGCTTTGTGCGCGAAGGTTTCTACTTGCACACTTAAAAATTACTTTTTATTTATTTTATTTTTAAATAAATCTGATTGCTATTTTCACAGATAATATACGTGTTTTTTTCATTAACTATATGACTTAATTGTCACATGCTATCCGTCAAGTTCCCCAATTTATAATAGTCCATTAAAAAAAAGTAATTTAATAATAAAAATAATTAAAAATGCAATTAGAAAATAGAAAATATTCGAATTTCCTCTTTATCTATAGATCAAAATTTCAGAATTGCTGTCTATAAATTTATCAAATTGTTTAATAGCCATCGATAGAGTCTATCTTATTTTAAAAAAATTATTTTTGAGAAAAAAAAAAGTTCTTTAAAAAATCGAAGTTATTGAAATCCCATCTTCACCAATGGCTTAAAGATTTCGAAACTAAGAGTCTAGGATTTGTGACATTTTTTGAAAAAAATCAAAACAGTTAGAAAAATATTGTTCAATAAAATTTTTTTTGATATTTTCTTCGAAAAGTAGGGTAAAGTGCTTATTTCGGATCAGATTCTAATTCGGATCAAAAAATTTCAAATGCCTGTCTAGCCATTTGTATTTATCATATGTGGATTTTTCTTTCACAATCGTCTATAGTTATCCTTATAGCATTATAATACAATTTAAGGACGTTCTCTCGTCTTTATACTAGAGAAAATCGATTTTCTTAGAATTTTCTTGAAACTGTGAATATACGTTAATTTAGGTGTGCTTTATGCGTGGTATAAATTTCAGTACCTCTTCCGGTATAAAAAATAAAGATACTGAGCCTCAAAGTTACAAAACAAATTTTTTAAATTTAATTTTTTTTAGTTTTGGCATTTTTTCCTTATAGAACTCGACGAGAGGAGCAACTTTGGTCCTTTTGGCCAACTTCGTATCTCTTACCGTTTGGCCTGGAAAACCTTTTCATTAGTAAAAGTTGAAACTTTGAGGCTCAGTATCTTTATTTTTTATACCGAAAGAGGTACTGAATATTTTTTACCACGCATAAAGCACACCTAAATTAACGTATATTCACAGTTTCAAGAAAATCCTAAAAAAATCGATTTTCTCTAGTATAAGGACGAGAGAACGTCCTTAAAAATACCGCTGGTTGCTATTGGTAACCTTCGGCTGATTGACTAAGGGTCGATTCAGACACAGCCGTGCCGTATCCGTACCGTGCACGAAACAGAACATCAGACAAGGATACCTATTGTCTCCATCCTTGTCTAATTTTGTCTCCATCCTTGTCTGATGTTTCTGTTTCGTGCACGGTACGGATACGGCACGGCTGTGTTTGAATCGACCCTAACAGCGGGCTGCCAAACAGACGTTCGCGGCGCGACTAAAAAAGAAGGGAATTAGACCTAGGTACATATTTATGCTTGTTTTGACGTAACTACTTGTTATTTTTAACTGAAATTTTGCATGCATACCTTTGAAGGTATGCGCAATCTAATTTTCATGATAATTTGGCCAAATTTTGGGTGTAGAAAAAATGCGAAGGCTAGTGAAAACTGCCAATTAGAGGTCGCCCTTGAGTACTGTTTACTCATTAAATTTATCTGTTCTATTGTGTAATATAGACGTTGACGACGTTGTAATAATATATTTGATTAAATGTAGAATATTATTTACCTTGCATTTTACTTTTAAGTACTCAATTCTAATTATTTATGTTTTTTTTTTTACAATGTAAGCTTTATTATTATATGTAAATGCCTATGGTCAATTTAGAGTATTAAATAGAAAATTTTCTTTCTCTAAAAGCATATATCATCTTTTCAGTAATTATGTCGAACCTAGAACAAGCTGTTAGTGCAGTAAGATTAAGTTATTCATAAATTATATGTATATATATGTATATATATGTGTGTGTGTGTGTGTGTGTGTGTGTGTGTGTGTGTCATTTTATCGGTTGATTTATAATTGTTATTAGCTCTATAAACCTTCAGTTGAGTTATATAACTTTAAATATGTGTAATATTAGTTTACTTGATTCTTTTCTAAATAAAAACTGGAGCTGTATTTATGGTAGAAGAGATTTGGTTAAGTACCATTTTTGTGTTCAAATAGTAAAAAAAAAGGTTAAAACATACTTTCAAATGTCTAAATTTTGTATTTTTACCTTGAAATTTTACTATGTGAGAACTTTGATATTTTGATCCACATTAGGTTCATGCACCTAATTTGGATCAGAAATGATATTTCAATGTTCGAATAATATTTCACGTTTGTGTTTTATATATCCACCATCATTTACATCTATTTGTACACCACATACTTGAATTACAAGTCAATCTAAGACTGATCCAGAATAGATGCACTAATCCTAATTCGGATCAAATTCAGACTTCTGTAAAAAATTAAAATGTCGAGATCTTAAGCAAAATAAATGGACCGTTTCTTCAGAAATCTTAAGCTAAGATTCCAACTTAAATTTTCATGCTCAATTGACTCATTAAATCATTATATTAACAAAGTTATAGCCAAAATCGGAAAAAGTGATCCGAAATAGGCATTTTACCTTACAGTAAAAAACAAAAAAAAAGATTACCTTATTTTTTACAATATCTTTTTTCTTCTTAAAGTTACAGGCATTCGAAATTTTAAACTGCATTTTTTTGAAAAAATCTATAATTTAAGTAGGTATGGGTAGAGATAAAAATGTAAAAAAGAATCATGGAAGCTATTTTTATTTAGTATAAAAACACAAAAAAATTTCCGCCAAATCAAAAATAGTCGAGGAAAATTCTCGGCGATTTGACATGGAATGCCCCATATACATATATAATTATATAAGATCATATAAAATGTATATTAATACATAAATCCGAATGACTAATATATGCTGCAGAATGAAAGAAAGGTAAGTGGCTCGATACGATTTGTGACCACGTACTTGGGGTATAAGGATGGTGATGGAGAACGTAAACATCGGCACAAAGAGCATACATCTGTCGCGAAATGCATGATAGGGCCATATCCCTATCAAGCTCATATACGCTTTAGGAACTGTATAAAAGCGACTTTGCCAAATGTTCTGTCGCTCGTCCATTTTCAGAAACATTAAGACTACGAACTATCAACGATTCCTTGTAAATACTTGCCACTCGGCAAGCTGCCGAGAACAGTTATTATCAATTCCTTGTGTCGTAGCGTTGCACGGCCGCAATTATGACATATTATGCAATTATTTCCCGCGGCGTACAATTATGTCACCCCTCACAGTTGCTACTATGCAACTGTGTCTTTCGATCGCAGTTTCGCGAAGAGTGACAACTAACTATATCTCGCTACAATGTTTGGAATATAATAACGCTTTTATCGTTCATTGAACGAAGTTGATGATAAATTGAATTATAGTTACCAAGTCAATTTTATTCTTGAGTTTGATTATTGCGAAAGGAATCATGCAGTATTTCTCTTCTAAGTTCGCAATATTTTAGTGCGATAAAAAAAAGGAACAAAATTTGTTGGCGTAAAATCTTATATTTTCGACATTTCTGGCAATTAAAATAATTTAAGCCCAATTGTCGCTTAAAGATGTGATGAGCCAGGTGCGGCTATTAGAATTTTCTTAAATCATGGATCATCAAGCTGGCCTGGCACACGCACGTTGAAACTGTCAATGGAAGGAGCGCAGCATCGTGAAATAAGACATTGACGTTTTTAAAACCTTCCGAGGAATAAAATCACAAAGTACATCTTAAGGGTGAAGAGAAAGTAGATCCGCAAAACTACCGAACGATAAAATTTTACTCACCACGCCGAAACTTTCAATGGACAGAGTTGCCACCTTTCCAGCAGTTATTCTGCATGGTAATATGGTTCTACTCATGATTAGGAGCAAAAGTTTTCTACATCTTTCCGAGGTGTAATACCAATTTCCTCTGCAACTATGATTCAAATCGCGATTAATAAATAGCGATAAAACTGAAAATGTTTCGTTCATGTTTCCAGTTCCTGCATCTTTTTGATCTTTGGAACGATAGCGTTTCAAAAAGTCACTTTTGGGAGCTTTTGAATGAGCTTAAAAGAATTTGATTTCTTACATCGACTCATACGGAGCGACGCTGTAATCCAATAAAAACTGAGCCTGCCAAAACTGGAAGAAAAGATGGGTGAGTTGAGCAACATAGATAGCGAGGGGTGCTATTATATCTTTTGCGTCGTTTAGATTCATCAACACCTGAAACATATATTTTCTTTCATATTAACTTTTGTATTAATTTATTATAAATTTTCGTATTATCAATTATAAAGAGTTGTCAGTGATTTAAAAAAAAAATCCGGATTGAGAGATATACACGCAATAATTTCGTCAAACATTAATTCTCATTGAATTGAAAAATTCTTCTAGTTGCTGCAACAATCTACGTTATAAATTATAACATAAAGAAATTGATGCACGTACCTGAATACCACATATACTGCCACCAATCATATTTAAACTAACACTAACCAGAAATATATGTGTAAACGTGGACTCAATCAGTTCTGCGAATCTGTGATAAAATTTGAGCGCGATTACGATAGATTCGGATAGATGATACGATATGGATGTAGAGTACATATTGTTGTAATTAAAAATAACACGCACTCTATTACATGCAGATGCTTGCGTAAGCAATTGAAAGCTTTGTGGTAATTCTTATCGTTTTTCTTGTCGGGCTTCAGATCAAAATTTGCATTGATATTCTCGCCAATATGTTCCAGCATGTGTCTGAAGGCCGCTAAAATAATAATGTTCTTGGCAAATTGTATTTTCAAATCGCAGAATCTAATCTAGAGTCTAGATCATCGATTTTATTGGAATTGAAAAGGATCGGAATAAGCGATATATATCAAAGTGTCTTCATGACATTGGTCATTCACCTGTTATCCCTCAGTCTTTATTTAAAACATCGTTCCTGATACTCTTACCCGACAACCGAGAACATCCCGCAGGCATGTTGGATCAGAGCGAAGTACAAGGTATCGGCAGCGACCGTGGCGGTCACGTGAGAATACACGGTTAGATAACAATGAATCAGTATCGGATAGAAGTACTGATCTATCTTATAACCGTATTCCACGCGGAAGGGTAGTTTCGTTACGGCCAATCTGGTCGAGTTTGAAGTATCCTCTATCATTATTAACACGATCGACTTGAGCATGTAGAGCAATCCTGTTGTCACCATAAAGACTGAAAATTATAATGCAAAAGACGTTGCTGAAAGATTCGATCAAGTTACGGAGAAAGAATTCTCTAGTAAATTTTCAACTCTCTGTCACACATTTTTCGCCAAAAATATTCTACCCAAATATCTATCTTGTCTTTCCTGGTGGAAAAATGTCTCAGAATTTTTCATATTATTAATCAGAATTTCTATGAAAATTTTAAGACTTTTAAAAAATGTCTCAGAATTTTAAGATTTTCTCATAAATTTTTTATACGAATTGGCACATTTTCAGAAAAACTCTGACAAAATACTAATGAAATTTTTCAGATTTTTCTCGTTAATACATTTTTGTAGAAATCTGAATAAATATGAGAAAATCAACGCATTTATCAGAAATTTTTACGCATACAGATATTAAAATATTTTGAAAATTATTATCCAATTATTTCTGAAAGTATCTGAAAAATTTGATATATAGTTTTTCAGAATTTTTCATAAATGTAAAACATAAGAAATTCTTAGAAAATTTTTAAGAAAATATGAGAAATTTTTTCACCAGGGTTTGATACGCACCTGCATAAAATATCGTTAGATATTGTCCGTATGTAGCATGACGTTGTAAAATAGCCTTCTCGCTATCTGTATTTAATGACAACCAATCGTCTTCTATAGTCTTAAGACAGGCCTTTATCTACAAAAATGCACCCGCATTTTCTTTACGATAACGATATTTATTATCGGATATCGAGAATTTGACTATGGGTGACTTTCGTCGTGCTAATAAAATGGTATATAAAACTACATTATTTACTTTCTCACTGTTTGCCATCAAGCTTGCTAATTTAAAGCTGAATATTATCGTGATTAGTATCGTTGGCATACACTCGAATAAATCATCCAGATCCGTCATGGCAATTTGCACATACAGTAGCTATGTTATAAAATATTGATCAATGTTATAAAACATTGATAATGATGCAATAATTAATATATCCTTAAAAGCTAGAAAGTCTTAGCCTCAACATATTTTTGCTTATATGAAAAAAAACGATATATTTTTGCGCGAAACGAGCTGCTTGATAGTTGAGCAGTCTTGAGCACTCTAAAGAGCATTGCAAATATTGTTATATAAAAATGTAAAACATATATATATATATATATTAGGGTGTGTCATTTTGGAGCAACTTTTTTTTTTTTATTTCACGAATAGCATATATACTTGCAGGAAGGTAAAATAAGATACCTGTTAAAATTTTAGTCCTTTATATTAATATTAACAGGTTGCTCATTGCGATTTTTTATTTTTTATTTAGTAAGATAGAAAAAATTTTATAACTATCTAACAAACAGTAATACAGCATTGC